GAGTCTGAGCTTGTCGCTCGCTACGGGCGAGGAGCCGTTCCGCAGTTTAACGCGCTTCGCGAGCGCGTCCAGCAGATGCCGAGGGCACCCCAGCAACCTGAACCCCAGCATCCTTCACATGCCCAGTCCGAGTTTCCTTATATTACGGAAGAAGCACACCGCGGTAGGCCTTCACAGTCGAATTCTCGTTTGGCAGAGCCAGTTTGGTATCCCGAGCAATCGCCTGCGCCACGCGCTCGGACGACCACCCTGCCTACGAAGAATGGGAAGACTGCTGCGCATCCGACGAGAACGTTTGTGGATGATTTGGACGTCTATGCCCACGATGACACGCGAGGGTCGAGTGCGAAACTATCCAGGACCAAGGAGCCAAGTCCGGAACTTCCAGAAGATGATAGTGATGATAGCGCGTTGGCGTATCTTCAGGCCTTGGGACTGGAACCTGCTGAAAACGCTCCCAAGAGCAAGCCACCACGACAAGCGAAACGAGCACCCACATTGCCGGTTCAGCCAAGCTCTCAACCTCGACCCTTACTCCAGCCTACGCGCTCTGCGACGTTGCCTCCCCAACCACAACCTGCGGATGAAATATCACACCTGGAGCAAGCGCGTCACGATGCGCTGATTGCGAGTATCATTAATCCTCCGCCGGCCGCGCTCGAGCAATACGCTTCACGCCACGCTCCTCCACGTCCGGATTATATCACCACCGCGCGACGCGGGTTTCCGAGTGGCACACTGGGCCTAGTAGACGATTCTCCTTCGCGTTCCCCGTCTCCCCTGCCGGACAGTCCGCTTGCAAGCGACATCCTCCCGGTTCCTGATTCCCCTGCACGCAAATCCCACCGCCGAGAACTCCCGCCTCGGCCACCACCACCCAACACATTTGCACCATATGCACCGGCCAATTCAGTTACTCTCGTACCACGCGTGCAAAACTCACCCAAACTCTTGCCGCCGGAATCACCATTTGCCTCGGCACAAGCCTCGCCAAGGAATTCTCCGTTGCTGCGTCCCCAGGGCTCGCCAATGTCTCTGGCACCCCCACCGCCCAACGCACCGCGCAGTGGACCAGGCGCGCCACAGCTCGCTCTCCCACTCGTGCGCGTGCGGATCACCTCCCCTCCGCATCGTGGCGCGCTCCGTGCACTCCCCGCGCTCGTTATGCTAAGTATCGGCGCTCGCGCAGCATTCGCAGCAGCCACATGGGCCCAAATGGTCGCATACTGCGCGCGCAACGCAGGAGTTGCGATCGCACGACGAGGTGGCGGGGGCATTTTGCGAGTGGCGATTGAAGAGCGGATGGCAGAGCTGACGACTCCCGGAGGCGGGCGGGGCGTCGCGGACGAGGAAGTCGGGTTTGGATTGGGCTATTATATTTCAGTCGAGATGGTGCTCGAGGGCGAAGGTCCTATTGACGAGCGTCTGGTGGAGAACAGTGTGCCCGTTGCGAGCCTGTCCATTCCTTTGCCGACTACGATGGGAGAAATCGCGACCGTGTTTAGAGAACGCAAAGATATTCGCAAGGCGTTGAGTTGAGGCTTTGTTTATCGATTCGTTCGTTTAATTTTGGTGTATTTTTGGTCATAAATTTTATCACTCTTTTGTATGATCTTGGTTCTATTTTAGTTAGCACTATAATCTGCGTGTTGTTGCGCATACATTGATCTTACCGAACGATGTGCCTAATAGTTGATATTAATAGAGATACATTTTAATAAAGAGTGGATTCTAGGTCGGTGGTAGCCGGTAAACCGACTCCACCCAAAAAGGGGCGGAAGAGGGGGTGGAGGTTGGTGGCGGGCGAATGCGGTCGAAAATCCCATGACGTCACGTGTCGAATTGTTTGCACATGTGGATCCTACCCCAACACGACAAATCACCATCGAATGTATGCGGTAAATATCCAAGATCATAAAGTAAAATGAACAGGACTTCATTCAGCATGACACTATAAACATTCCGGATAAACAAGAACTAAACGACAGTGAACTAGGGGGAACCAGGTGAGCACTCGTCGAGTTGATTGTACCATAGCACTCACGTAGCTGATATCATCGTTACTTCCGCGCTGGGCGACAGCCGACAAAGCGGGCTGGTGATTGGCCGCAGAGTTGATGCTAGCCATTCGATACTCTCCAGCGGGCAAGCCTTTAGTAACTTCGGCGGTCAAGATTCCATTCACGTCTGGCAGGTTCATGCCTTTGAAAAACGCGAATTGCCTATACGAAAGGTGAGCCAAGGTTGAGAGCTTGCACTTGATACATACGCACCTTGGGTCGGTAGGCGTGGCTTGGTCCTTTGAAGTCAAGAGCTCAAGTACAACATGCGAATGGCCAATGAGCGTTCCATCTTCTGTCGTCTGAGCCGGTGCAGAGTAGTAGTTTGTAGCAGGGTTGACAAAGTTACCCGTCTTGAGGTTCCTAATCGCCATCTTGATAGTAAACGACGTGTTGGCTTTGACCGTCCCGCCGTTCGGAGGGAACACAAACTTGGACGACGGCATCTTGTCCACGCTGAGGATACGTCCCATCGGTACGCCGTTGCAGGAGCCCGTCTTGATTTGCTGCCCGTTGGTGAGCGGGACGTTTTGCGTTTTGCAAAAGTTGATGCTAAGGCCGAGTTAGTGTCTTTCTTTTGAGTCATGGGTTTGGACTTACAAGTTATTGCGCGACGTGAGAGAGGCTACTTGGCCCGGAGACGGAATATCTTGCCCGTCGTTGGCTAGGTTGGACATGATTACCCTAGGGTCGAGCGTCAACGAGGTCTGTGGGTCTTCAGTTCCGGTCCCGGCTGTGCCAGTTGCTGCCGCAACGCTCGATGTGCTCGTCCTTGTGTTGACGCGGATTATGGTGCCAGAGGTGCGAACAATCGAAGTCGAGAATCTCGAGGCTGTCCTTGTTGCACGAGCCGAAGTTGTCACTGCGCTTGTGGTCACTACACTCGAGGTGGTCGCCGCGTCCGAAGCAGACACTGCGTTTGAAGTAGACACTGCGCTCACAGTGGTCGTGGTCTGGGAAGCTGCCGTAGCCGTCGTAGTGGCCGCGCTAGACAACGTCTGGCTGTTTCGATTGCGGCGCGTAGAAGTTGTAAAAGACGTCGACTCGGTGGCGGTCGAGCTCTGGATTGAGGTTGCTCCAGACCTTGTTTGGCCACTTCCATTACGACGCGTAGATGTTGTAAAAGACGTCGAGCCGGTTGCAGCCGAGCTCTGGGTCGCGGCGGAGCTCCGAGTTGCGACCAAGCGCTGGGTCGTGGTCGCCTGCGAGCTGGACGTAGCGGTCTGCAAGACAGTCGTACCACGGGTCCTGGTAGTAAACCGAATACGAGTCGAGCTCGAGGTGTCTAGGTCTTTGATGCCAGCCTTGCTAGTCGTACTGGTAGCTTGTGAGGCAGAGCGAGTGACTGTCACCGTGACTGGGTCGGTGGGGCATGGCTCTGACGATGTGGGCGCAGCGCTGGAGGTGGTTTCGACATCCTCGATACTTGCTTTGCTAGTTGAAGATGCAGAACTAGTCGCAGCGGAAGTCTACCCGGGAGTCAGCTAACTTCAAACGTCTCGGGCTCGCAACTTACGTCGGTCTTAGTCAGGGTGACCAGCATGGTCGATGTCTTGGTGCGTGTATGCGTGGCCATTCCGGTCTTTGTGACGGTCTTCGTCGCCATGGCCGTGTGCGTGCGGGTCGCGCCGCCTTTAACCTCTATAGTCGTTGTCACAAATGCAGTCACGAAAACGGTTGTAGTCTGCTCGACCACGACTGTCGTCACTGGTTTGGCTGTGGTCATCGTGGTGACGATTGGAGCAGAGGACTGAAAATTACTGTTAGCATTGAACGTGGTCAACCGAGAGAGTGGGTGTACCTCTTGAATCGTGGCGGACGAAGCTGGCTTGGGGGGCGCTCCCCCGATATTGCCATTTTGCCCCTTGGATCCAGAGCCGTTTCCGGAGGAGCCCGCGCCGACCGTAACCGTAATGAAATGATCGACGGTCTTGGTACTGACTTGTGTGACCACGGAAGTGATGACGGAAACACCGGCCGTATTGCAGGCTGTCGCAGACGACAAGAGGTCGATCAAGGCAACAACAGAAGTGGTCGCAGGAGAAGTAGCATTGGCTGCAATGGTGCTGGTAGCCGAACCCGTCGTAGTGTTCGGAACAGAGGAGCCAGATACGAAAACAGTCGATGTCAGGTTCTTGATCTCGGTGACAGTGGCAACGCTCGTGGAGGGAGCGGCGGGCTGCCATACAATGAGTTTGTGTTCGAAAAACATGGAGCCAACTGACCTGAGTGGTGGTGGATCGGGTGGGAGATGCCGATACGACAGCTAGAGCAACCGCAACGTATGCGAATATTGAAGAGCGCATGGAGAATAGTCGGTGTTTTGTGGAAAGACTGGCGTTGAAACGTTAAAGAGCGACACCTGGCCGTCAAAGGGAGCAATCCAGTTGCGAGAAAGTGGTCGATTGCACAGCAAGCCAAGTAAAAGAATGAAAGCGGTAAGCCGCAAAGAATGCTACAAACGTTGGGTTAGTCTGGGCAGCCTATACAGGACAGACAAACTTACAAAAAGTGAATTGGGAGAGGGGGATGCTGAAAGATGGGTTTCACCTGGGGCTTTTGAAGCCATGTGCTCCGCGTGGATCGTGGGTTGGCCAACCGCGTGCTTTCCCTAGCTACTGCCGGCAAGGCACACACGCCCATGAATTTTGGTTTCGCGGGGGGAAGATCGCAAACAGTCAGCCGAAATGGTGCCGGAGCCGATTGATCATGCCAAGCGGTTGGTAGGGACCGGGTAAATAAGGAAGTGGCTTGCAGGATTCGTAAAGCTTGTTTTTAATGTCCAAACGTGGGATAGAAGCTCAGTGGTTGAGCAATCGATTGCAGTTATTACATAATTGATTATATAAGCATTTCTATCGATAGGTCGCGTGTTCGAATCACGTCTGTCCCTCTATTTTAAGCTCTAATATTCTTCAAAGTTTTGCCAGGACAGGATGGCGACATCTTCGGTAGGGTGCGGGGAGTATTTGGATTTAAACTGACCATACAAGCGAAGTTTGCGTTACTAACGTGTTGCTACCCTGTCACTCACGTGACTGACTGTTAGTAACATGTCAGCATTGCTTGGTAATCCTCACGGCCGCGGTTGCCAAGTTTTGAGAAACCTCGCCCGCCTAGCATT